ACTACTACTACTACTACTACTACTACTACTACTACTACTACTACTACTACCACTACCACTACCACTACCACTACCACTACCACTACCCCTACCACTACCACTACCACTACCACTACCACTACCACTACCACTACCACTACCTACTACTACCACCACCACCACCACCACCACTACTACTACTACTACTACTACTACCACTACTACTACTACTACTACTACTACTACTACTACTACGACTACTACTACTACTACAACTACTACTACTACTACAACTACTACTACTACTACTGCTACTACTACCCTACTCCATTATACCCAGCTCTACTCTCATCTACTCTATTATACCATGTACCTTCGTCCACCAAACTCTGATATGCTAGACCTTGCTCTACTCTGCCACACCCTACCCTGCCCTGACCTATTGTCCTCCACTCGACTCTACACGGCTCTATTCAGTCTCTACTCTACTCGAATCCTTCTCCACAGCCCTCTCCTCTGCGGTCTAATCAACTCTGCTGTACCCTGCTCTACTCTACTCCACTCTACTCCACTCTCATATGCTCTACTACACTACTCCGCTCTTCTCTATTATACCCTGCTCTGTTCTACTCTACTCTACTATAGTTTGAGTTCGACATGTGTTTGACGATTGTTGGGACGCAATTGGAAGTGTCACAGGAAGTCATTGCAATAGCAGAGGAAGCCATTGCAATACCAGCGGGTGCTAATGCAATAACAGAGGATCGTTTCAATGGTTTGACTGTGCGAGGGCAAACTAGAGGGGTGGTATCAATGGACGAATTCTCTACACATTGAGCTAGCACTCCAATAGGCAATGTTTGGAGAACACCGCTGATACACCACCTGCGACAGTCCGCACATTCGCTCTTCACACCCAAGTGCATCGACACAACTTCACCCCGACCCGTCTCACCTCCGTGGCACCGCACCGTGCAGACCGAAGTAGATCAGCAAGATAACAAGTACCTATCAACAAGATATGGTATTCAGAAACTCGCAAGCGAACACGCCCGACACAACGACTGTGCAACTGCCATCCCAATGAACAACGCGCTCAATGAAATCGCAACATCGGTGTAGATCCGTTCTTCAACGGGTGCAAAGGCATTCGCGCCAGTATTCAGTCGAGGGGCTGGACGGGCTAACCAAGCTAGGGTGGGCGCAACATCAATCAGAAGACAAAGTACCAACACATTGCTCTGACATTCCTGGACGAGAATACGCAATGTGCATGTTACGGGCCATGCCTTGCGCAAGCGAACTAGGTCAACACATGGGCAACATGGGCTCCCAAGTATCTATGGGAACCCCAGAACACGTCTGACAATCGCCGAAAGCTTGTAAACACTCCCGAAAACCGACCACATCCGAGAGCCTCCGAACACACCGTTCCCTCCTATCCACGCGGAGACTAGTGAGCTGGAGCAGTCTCTTCTGGTGAGAGCCACTGGACACTCCACACACACACACATTCCGAGACACTAGAACTCTTCCAGCAGGCTCGCGAAGTCTCGCCCACTCCCCCTCTTCTCATTCGCCCTCCCCCTTTGTTGTATCCCTCGCGCCCTTCTGGAGAGATCCGTCACCGTGCCCCGAGGCGCGTGGCTGGAGTGTCCTCGGGTCATCCGAGTCTCCTGCGTCGGGTGTTGCACTGCTCTTCGAGGGGCCCACAGCCCCGAGCTCGGGGCGCTTCTGGGCGCGCGTGGGGAGTGTCGCGTGCCTCCTGGGGCTTCTCCCGCGGCATGCCCCAACGCCAGGAGAGCTCACGATGGCCCACAGGCGCTCCAAGCCGGCCCCGGAAGCGGGCAGGCCCAGCATGCTCCCGCGCTACCCCAAAAGGGGGCTCCAGGATGCCTCCCGGGAGGCCACTGGTAGGCGCACCGCACGAGGCGCACAGCCTCGCGCGTCGCATGGTGTCTGAAGCACGTTGGCCTTCTCGCCGTTTCGGGTGCCCCACCCTGCAAGGCGGCACGCGAGGCCCCCACGATCGCCCCCAGGCGGCCCACGCGGCCCCCAAGAGGGCCCAAGCGTGGGATTTCGAACGATGCTTCGAGCCCTCCGCCCCGAGATGGCCCCCGACACCGCCAGCAAGACCCCTGGTTGGCCCCAAGGTGCTCCCAAACCGCCTCCAAGCGGCCTCCGAGAGACCTCCCAAGTGATCCCAGCAGGCATCCAAGAGGCCTCTGACCTACAATCCAAGCGCGGTGGCGGGATGGGCTGAAGGAAGGCTATTCGATCTCCCATCTCCTGTGTTAGGGTGCTTGGCGTGCTGAATGTTTTGAGGCTTTGAAAATTCCAACATTTTCCCAATGGCCTTCGGCTTGACCCGTTCATTTCGCGGAAAAGATGTGAGGCAAGGATTCTTACGCCCAAGATGACTCCAAGATGGCATCCAATCAACTTCCAACACTGCCAGGGTAGCCCCAAGAGAACCCAAGATGGCAACACGATTCCTCCAAGACGGCCCAAAATGGACCCACGACGGCTAACGATGACCTCAATACGGCCCGAGAGGCCCCGAAGACGCCCCGAGAGGCAAATTTTCGTTAGGAGTGCGCGCGCTCAAACGCAATGGGTGCAATTAGCCTGGTAACAGGCCCAACCTCATGCAGCTGAGTGTAGTGCGGTCGTGGCCCTGTCCTCATATACTGCGCGCCACGGGAAGAGTCTGAATACTGGGCAGTGCAGAGCAGGGCTGCGGACCAGGCGCGTAAGTACGCGCTGAATCACCCGTGGGTCGCGGCATGGACTGGAACCACATGCTGGCACCTGGATTGAGACCCCAGGCAGTTCCTTTCAGGATGCGATCTGTGTGAGGGGTGCACCAACATAGGCGGGTGGACGCTAAGCAAATCAGCTCGATGGGGCCGTAAGCGGAATTCGTTGTAGGGCATGATCATTGCGAAGGGTGCGCCGAAGTGGAAACCCTGTCAGAAAGCCCCCTCTTGGGCCGTAGGTGGACCTCCCCATGGGGCGCGATCCATGTGAGGAGCGTGCCCAAATGGGTGCGGATTGCGGATACGCTTGAGGAGCGCGGGCACGATCTGCGCGCGGGGTGAGCGACATAGGCGCAGATACGCTACGGGAGCGCTCCTGCCAAGGCTGCAGGCGTAGCTGCCTATGAATCGAGATCCGCATGAAGGGTGTGCCGACATGGGCGTGGAGCGAGATGGGAACGCCTCAGCTGGGGCCTTACGTGGAGCTCTTTGCAGGGCGCGATCCGAGCGACAAGCGTGCCGAAATGGGCGCGGAGACGCCAATTACAAGGTCCGCCTCTGTAGCTGGTGGATCCCTCTACGAGGCACGATCTGTGAGAGGGGCTCGCCGAACAGGACATGAGGCCGGCAACGGCAGCAGCGGCTGGCAACGGCAAAACATCAGCAACGTGCAGCAAGCAACGCAACAGCACGGGCAAGGTGGGGAGGAAATTGGGGGGGGCGGCAGGAGGGAAACGCGCGGCGCAGCGGGTATCAACCGAAGGCCCAAGGCAGTCGTCGAATCCCTAAGCCACTTGGGCCAGTTGAGCAATCTACAGGGCAGTTTCTAACACATAGGATTTTTGAAATATAGGATTTTAATACATGATCAATGTATGAATGAATGTATGCATGAACTCATCGTTTTTTATACCAATTCTTTGCATTTTAACACGTGATCCGCACGCGGAGCATGTATTAATAACGGCACTGTTTGGTGCATGGGTTGATGTCCCGATACCCCATAGGATAAAAACTCGGGCGGCCGTCTCGCAAGATAACATTTGCAAATGCTGTTTTTTTCGCGAAATTCTGTGCAACGGTCGGGCCCGGAATTGGCCCCCCGTGCGTCTTGGCTTTGCTCGAGGGACCCCGTGGCCACGGGGGCGCGAAGGACCCCCCCCCAGTGCGGCCGCGTGTAGCAAAGGGCGCGACCCTCTTCTCATCTTATGCGCGCCGCGCGAAGGAGGGAGCTCTGGGAACTGCGACAAGGGGGCTGCGGAGCAAGCGCGCAAAGGCGCGCTGAGCTCCTTCGCGATACGCGCGAGGAGTGCGCCGAAATGGGCCGGGGACCACATGCGCGCGCACACACACACACACACATACACACACAGACACACAAACACACAATCACACAGACGCGCAGACACACAGATACACACACGCACACACACACACACACACGTGCACACACACGTGCACACACACACACTCACTCGTGCGCGCGCACACACACCATCGCACACACACACACACACACACACACACACACACACACACACACACACACACACACACACACACACACACACACACACACACACACACACACACACACACACACACACACACACACACACACACACACACACACACACACACACACACACACACACACACACACACACACACTTTTTGCGTCGGCGGCTGGGCAGAGGTTACTACTCTGGCGATCGGGCATCAGTGGGGCGCGCTAGATGCAAATTTGGCCGCAGTGCTCGTGAGGAGAGGAAGAGACCCCGGCGTGACGGGAAGAGAGGAAGCTGGGCCCGCTCAGGCAAGTCACCGGCTTCGGCGGAGGTAGCGCCGAAGGGGGAGGCCAGCCGCGGCGCCGGGCAGCAGCTGGGGGGGGATGGCAGCCCAACGGCGGCTGGGCAAGGCCAGATGGGG